CTTTCTCTCAGCTGGCTATGGCTTCTTGCCCTCGGAGCCCATGGAAACAGTTGCCCGGCGACAGGAGCTTATCCACAAGCAAAATATAGCCAGGTAGTGCGTGCAGAATATTATCATCATCTCACAGAAATACTCCACCTACACACACAGATCTACATCACAATTTGCTGGATAAAACAGAAACATTCAATGTATTGTCAGACTTTAATAATGTGATGATGTGGCTGCGTCATCACTGTTGCACAATTATGTCTAATATTAGTGTGTGTGCTCCTGTTTAGAATGGAGATGAATGCCATCCTGCACCAGAAGGAGCTGGAGAACGCCCACCAGAAGGGATTTATGGGAATTGATAACCCCATGTCATACCCTCCCAACCCCATGGCATTCAGAGGCCGTCAGCGCATGCCAGATGGCCATGATGTCTTTGTCCATCGTCCCACCCTCGATGAACTGCACTCAAACAGCATCCTCATGTCAGCCAGCCCTTACCCACCCATCAGCACGCTGCACAGAGAGAGAGGACGCAGGGCCGGCAGGAGGCCGACCGTTCACAAGAGTGCAGAGAGCCATGTGTCAAACCTGAAAGGCCAAACTGAAGATAAAAGTGTAGAGCAGAGCCCAGGAGCTACATCAGGGGAGGAGAAAGAGGTGGAGGCAAAGGGGGACATGGGAGAGGAGTGTCCCACCAGTAAGACGCATCATCAAGTAAAAATAGACTCTGAACTGGCCGCAGGAAGCAGGAAGAACTACAAAGAGGGGGAGCCGGGCCTGCGTAAAGCCTGTGTGAACAGTCAAGATGGGTCAGATGTGACCAACAATGGTGCAAATGATAAAGACATATCCAGCCAGTGTTCAGCTTTCCAGGAGAAGTTCATGTATCCCTCAGCTGGTGGTGGCATGCCTTACATGTTCCCAGTCCCTGGAAATGGTTTCCTCCCACCAGGTAAATTCCTGAAGATAGATTACAATATAGCAGATGGATTTATTGTGTACATTATAGCACCAACACAGATGTATATCATTGTTTTTTCCAGGTCCACCCAATCTCTTTCTTAATGGTGATGAGGTGTCTGAAGACATAAGGAAGTGGACAGTGAATGACGTTTACAACTTCATCAACAGTATACCAACATGTTCAGAATATGCTCAGGTTGGTTCATACAGTTCTCTGTAATTTTTTTCTTTGTTCTGTTTGCTGTGTGTTTGCTGTGCTAATGTTATGTGATTTCACTCTGCAGACGTTCAAGGACCACATGATTGACGGGGAGACGCTGCCCCTCCTGTCAGACGAGCATCTACTGGACACACTGGGGCTCAAACTTGGACCAGCTCTTAAGATCCGCTCACAGGTAGGAAACACAGCCTCTGAGTGTTCCCTGAACATTCACAATCAAGTCTTAAACGGAAGACATATCGGGGTGCCCAGTAACTCACTAGGTAGGGCGGGTGCCCCATGTACAAAGGTAGCGTCCTTGCCACAGTGGCTGCGGGTTCGTCTCCAGCCCGCGGCCCTTTGCTGCATGTCATCCTCTCTCTCTCTCCACCCTTCATGCTTCAACACTGTCCTGTCATTAAAGGCAAAAAACAAAAAATAATCTTTAAAAAAAAACATAAAAGAAAGACATATCAGTAGCTGCTCCTTGAAAAGACTGGATGTGTAGTATAAATCTCATGCAGGAAGGCCGGTGCAACACTACACAGTAACTCTTAAACAAATGCAAATTTTGTGAAGCTTGTTGTGGCATTTGTTCATCTCAGGTTTTAAATTTATAATCAATTTTATCTATAGAGACCAAAATAACAAATCATAAAATTGCTTCAAAGGGCTTGGATAACAACAGGTTTTTGGATATGTGTAAATGTCGACATGCTGACCTTTTCTGAAGGAATATAGAGGGAGGCTGTGTTTGCACTGTCGAATAGGTCCACGACTGGTGGAAAACTGTGAAAATGGCATAAAAGAGGCTATAGTTAATTTTCCATATTTTGACATGATGAACAACACGTTACGGAACATTTATTGGCTACATTTAACAGCTTCATAGGAATATTGTCTTTTTTGGAATAAGGGGAAAAAACTGAATATTTTGTGCATGTAAACAGACAGTGGAGCAGCTAAAAGGGACTCAGCCACCATTAATTTTATCATTTACACCTATGCTTTTTCTACTGTGACATTTCAAAAAGTATTCTGTGGAAAAAGACCTAGAGAGGAAGTTGCACAGGTGCTGTTAACTGTGATCACGCTCTGCAGCACATCCTGTCCTCTACAGGTGCATCATTCCCTTTAGACACTGACACATTTGCAAACACTAATGCGTCTAAAATGTTCCAACTCTCTTTATTGCTCCACAGGTGTCCAGGCGCCTGGGCAACATGTTGTACATGATGAACCTGCCACTCCCTGCTTCCACCCTGCAAGCCACTCCTGAGAAGCCCACTGACCGCTCATCTGAGATCGGCTCCCCTGTGAACTGCAACAGTGAGGAGATGATGGCGAGTCCAAGAGACCCCGATGTCCTAAAATCCACAGAGCACCTGCACGAGACAGAAAACAATTCCCCTCCATCTGCCAGCAGCGAGACGGCCTGATCAGAACTGATAATGTGGACAAATGCAAATCTAACCAGGCCCAGTGTGCACCTACGTGACTCTACCTGAACTGCCACTGTGGTGGATTTGTTTACATAACCGGATTGATGGCGCTTTTTTTTTTGTTTTTTTTGTTTGCTACCTGGGTGTTTAATGCACAAGTTCACACTAGGCCCATGTGTCTGCTAAATATTTGTATTTTACATTAATATGTACATATACGTTTAACAACACTTGAGTGACACTAATGTGTGTTATGAGACTATAAGAAGGTCCAATATTATGTTTCTTTTCTTCTTTTTCATTACAGGCCTCTAAATGTCTGATCATAGCTTTAAACTCTTTTATTTTTTTAAGCTGCTAAGAGTCATTTCTCCAGTAGGCCATCATAAGGACCCTAGAAATCACATGGGAATGGTTTTATAATTGAGTGGTGAAATATCTAAGTGAGATGTTTGGATGTTTGATACCTTTTTGCATTTGTCAGATTGTAAATAAAGTGTTTTTCTACATAGAAAACCGGCAGTGCCATCTTTCTGTCATGGTCAGGAGTAAATAAGTGAAGATCAAGACTCTCATGTTTTAAGAAAATACATATAAAGTCGTAAAAACTGGCAAAAATCTATTATCTTTACCATGGACGTCATCACCGACGAGAAGTCCTTAGGATGGGGAGAAAAAAACTTTTGAACATTTGCACAAAAAACTGCAAAATCTATTTGGTGATAACTAAAAGTAAATAAAGATGTTTGTTTACAGGCATGTACCTACAGTTATTACAGAACATCTGAAAACTTGTACTTCGTTCTTCACTTAATCTCAATGAGCCTCAGTTTTCCTTATGTTAATAGAAGTTTATTACAACATAAATCTGATATCAGAGAAGATCTTGGTGCATTGACACAGATATACCAAAAGCTTAAAGTAGTATTTTTTACAAAAGCAGCTTTTATACAATAAATCCCAGAATCACGTATAGTCACAGCATCAGACCATGACGAGACAAAACTATGATGTGTAACACTTGGTCCAGACTCTTTACCATCCACAAGCTCCTTATTTCCCAGTGGCAGCTGGTGGTGAGGATTGCAGAGTACAACCAGGTAAAACTTCTCCCAGTTAGCGTTCCTTTATTGTTCTTTGCTCGGGAGGATTTTACGTGGAGCCGATTTATCTGCAGAGGTCTCTTCCTCTCCGAAACAAACAGACCAGGTGTTTAAAACCAGTGAAAACACTGAATAAAGCAGATTCAAGTTACAAATCAGTGTTTCTCCAACGCTGTTTAGCATGTCAGAAATGGGCTGCTAACCCAGCAACTGCTAATATGTGCTCACCTATTTCCTCAGATAATTCAATGTGTGTTCACCATATTCCTGATCCAGATGTTCAGGAGGTTTTTGCTGTAAGCCGAATTTTCCACAGAGGTCTCTTCTTCTCCAAAACAAACGGACTGATGATTGCAAACCGGTAAAATCACTGAATTAAGCAGTTTCAAGTTACAAATCAATGTTTCTCCGACACTGTTTGGCATGTCAAAGAGGGACCGCTAGCCCAGCATCTGCTAATGTGTGCTCACCATTTTACCCAGATGCCCTCAGATTCAGATGTTCAGGAGGTTTTTACCATGAGCCAACAAAAATATGATTCCACAAAGGAAAACAAATTTACTGTATTATTTTCCACTTCTGCTAATATATCCCCCTACATCCTACACACTGGACCTATAAAATATCAACCCAAGACATGGCAAAATTTTAATCCAATCCAATCTCACTGTATGGCAATAATTTGTGAGGAAGTCTGCTGCCTGGACTGCTGCTGCAATCATGTTTTCCCATCTCTCCAGCTGTTTATGCTTCATGAGAGCTCTCTAAATCTGCCTTTTTCTTCAGTGAGAACATTTTTATGGCCCAAATGCTGTCTGTGCTGCTCTGAGAGGTGCAGAAGCAGGGCTTTTTGTGTTATTAATGACAAACACTGAGCCTTGAGAGTTGGATATGCTGTGGCCAGGGTCTCTCACTGTTCTGAGTGTGTCTGAACATGTTTGTCTCTGTGTGTACCTGTGTGTGCTTCTATAAGAGGGCTCTGCTTCCTGCCTTTGCTTCAAATAGCAGAAAACGGTAATGGTCACGTATAGTACAAGTACCTCAAAAAAAGGCTTCAGTACATGAGTAAATGTTCTTAGCTATTTTCAACCACTGCTTATGAATATATTGTAAATAAAATTCAAAGGTAATAATATGGATATATGCATAATAATACAAATTATGCTACAAAACAGCAACAAAAAGACACTAAGTCCACACTGTTTGTTTAACTGTCTCAGTTATGAATGAAATTATCGTTTGCTTTTTTTAACCGTTAATCACTTGGTCTCGCGATACTACACGCTCCATACGCGTGCGCAGCCCCGCGCACGTCAGAGTAGCTGAGTTGGAGGATCATGGCGGAGCGCAGGAGGCACAAGAAGCGGATCCAGGTAACACCTCTCAATTCATAGAAATTACCGCCCGTGCAAGCTCAGAGGCAGCGAGTAAAAACCGTGTGCGGGTTTACGACCTGTTGCGGGTTGTTCGCTAACGGCAGCATCCTCGTGGGGAGCCGTTAACCGGCGGCAGATGAAGCTAGATGTTAGCTAACGGTAGTTAGCATTAGCTGGCTAGCGAAAACAAATGTTAGTATTTGTGTTTTAATGACACGTTTCAGAGGTAGTTATTATTTGCATTGCCTGTAGCACTCACGCTGATATACATATATGACTGGTGCTGTTACACTTTGTACTGAGCCGTCTCCATAGTCCACCATCTTTATTTTGATAGAACTGGCTGTAAACGTTTTTCTGGCTAAGCTGCGTCAGCTCTAACCAGACGTGTTTACACAACGTGAGGCAATCTGCGGGAATTTTAATTAATGAGTCAACAAATTACATTATAATGTAACTTACTGTGCAGGTTGCAGCAAATTAGTGTGGTAAATGGAGCGCTATAAAGACTAAAGCATTGATGTCTGTTGAAGCAACAGTTTACAGAGTGGCTACAGGTCAGTCAACTTAGACATGACTCCTGAGCATGTTAAAGTAAGTATCAGGAGTTAGATTTTTGAATTTTAAGCCTTAATTAAACCATGACACATTTATGTTTGTAACACCGAAGCCAGCCACCGGGGAAGAGCACCTCAAGGGGACATGAACAGGCTCCTATTTCAGTTGTCCATTGACGAATATGCATAAAATCTAAATTAGCAAGAACTTTATTTGAAGTCAGTTCAATTATTGTCAGACGATTAATGCTAGACATGAGCTGTGACCCAGATTCATACTTTATACTAGTTCTGATCAGGTTTGGGTTTGTTGTGTGATAAATCTGGCAAGGGGACAAAATAAAGAATACTCAAATATGTCAGTATTTATAGTGGAAAAAACAAGGTAGTGGATAGAAGGAAGGCAGCTCACGGTTGGTAATAATAGGACCAATTAAACTGTACACCGAGCTGCCACAGCATTAAAACCACTGACAGATGAAGTGAATAACATTGATCATCTCCTTACAATGCAACATTTTGCTGGGAAACCTTGGGCTCTGGCATTCATGTGGATGCCATCTGACACATTCCACCCCCCAGAACAGAACACTGTTGCAGACGCAGTAACCCCCTCATGGCAACAGCACTCGCTGATGGCAATGGCCCCCCCAGCAGGATAAAGCGTCATGCCACACCGCAAAAATTGTTTGGGAATGGTCCGAGGAATGTAACAACAAGCTCAAGGCATCATCCTGGCCTCCAAACTCCCCATATCCCAATCCATTTGATCATCTGTGGGTCATGCTGGTACCACATCTCACAACCCACAGGACTCAATGGATCTGCGGCCAGACACCACAAGACACCTCTCAGAGGTCTTGTGTCCATGCCTTGACGGGTCAGAGCCAAGGCCAATCCAAGGAGTCCCCACTGTGGACTGGGGAGTACCTCTTTGATACCAGCATGCCCCACATGGTCCACACACAAATGCTCGATTGGATTGGAACTTTGGAGGCCAGGTTGACATCTTGAGCTATTTGTCACGTCCTCTTAGGCCACTCCTGAATAGTTTTTGTAGTGTGTCATGGTGCATTGTCCTGCTGGGGAGGCACTGCCATCGGGAAGTGCTGTTGCCATGAGGGGACATACTTAGTTTGCAACTGCAATGATGTTTGGCTGGAAGGAACGTGTCAAGTGGCATCCACATAAATGCCAGAACTCAAGGTTTCCTGCAGAACATTGCATTCTAACGAGATGATCAATTTTAATCACTTCAAACCCCAGTGGTTTTATTGTTTCAGCTATGTTGATTTTATACTAGTTCTAACCATACTAGAAGGGATTACTAAAGTACGTACATACAGCTAGTAAGTAGTGTGATAAATGGGACACAGCAGTAATATCCTACAAAGCAGTGGGATAAACTAAGCTGAGCTGTTTTTACTCCATGTGCTATAATTGTAGATTAATGATAGTGTTGTATTCGCCTAATGCAAGGCATTGGGCCGACACTTGCATATAAAATATAGTTCTCTTGTGCATTTAAGCTCAGCTGCATAACAACACATACTATGAGTGGTCCACAGTTTAAGAGGCCTGTTCGTCACCAACATCATCAGTCTGCATAACACAGTTACCTGTTTGTTTTTTTAGCTCAGTTTCTCTTGATTACTAAAAAACATTTGATTGTGCTCTACCTTACACCAAATATGGGCTGTATTGGATTTGTAGTCAGGAAATGTCACTTGGATAAATATTTAGTTACCGATTTATGGAGTACATCTAGCTGAAACTAATGCTCTCTAATTCAGCAGCCCTGCAATAAATCCTACATTCATGGTGTTTCAGTTTCTGTTAAAGCAGCTTTAGAAATGTTTATATAAATGAAGACTAAACATTAGCCTCTAATGCGTTACACATCTCAGTCTAACAGTTTAACAGCACAAAAAAACTACGGTCTCCAAAAGTAACATTTTAACTCTCATGAAGGCAGGATTTGTTACATTATACAGTTGTAGCTAGGTGTACCTAATGTACCACCGACTGGGTGTAGTACTCTTGCCCATCCCAGTTCAGCTGCATGACAAACACATGCTGTTTATCTCATTTATAAGCATACCTGAAACCAAAAGAAGGTATCACCAACCTCACCACTCTACATTACACACAGCTTTACTTTATTTTTGAAATACCTCTTGTTTGTGCTTTACATCACAGCATTCAAGGATTGACATGAAGCCAAGACGATTATTTCAATGTGCACTTGGTTCACTTCGATAGCTAATGCTGTCTAATTCACCAGGCTTGTAATAATTAAATCCTACATCCGTGTAGGTTGTAACATTCAGTTCTGAGTGATTTTTATCTACTGTGATATAATTGAAGAGGTAGACTAGATTTAAGAAACACTTCTCAGTATAATGCATATGGTTCAACAGCAGCCCCACAAACTACATCTTACAAAATGATTATAAAGGTGAATTAAAACCTCCCTGAAAAAGCTGCAACTTCATAACCTTCATGTAGGTAGGACTTACTACAGGACTGTTGCATTAGTTTGAGGTGGGTGTTCCCTAATAAACCACCCATCTAAGTGTAAGTCTCTGCATCTTCAAGTTTAGTTGCATAACAACACATACTGTTATCTCTTTATGTCTTTAAAGAGGCTCCCTAAGATCACCACACTACATTACACAACAGTTATCTCCTTTTACGACATGATTCCTCTGAAGTATTCATCTGCTGTTTACCACTGTGTCTTACAGTATTCAAGTGCTGAAATGAGATGCATTTCTAGCCAAAACTGTTACTTGGATATCGACTTAAAGGACCGGTGCTTTGGACTTGGTGTGCAGTAGTAACACATCCTCACATACTATGGCTGTTAGAGCAGAGCAGCTAATCCTCATGTGATCATGCCAGGTAGATCATATAGACGGTGAAAGGGGGCTTTCCATTTACTGGTCTCATGTAACTGAGCAGTGTGACTGATACCTGTTTCTTTAAACAAAGGCTTGTTTGATGGCCTAGTCTTCCTCATGTTGCTGGCCAGAGCCAGCTGGACTGGATAAAGCAGCACTGACTCTCATTGTGCTGATGCTCTCATTCCCTGCGTGTTGGCATGTGGTTTAGTGCTGCAGGCGGGCAGACAGTGCAGATGTTGTGAGGAGGGAGGAAGAGTTTGGTCACTCTGTTATTGCTACAGATGAACATTTACAGTTTATGACACTGGGTGTATAAAGTAGACAAAGTTTACCTGACTCTGGAGGTGGAGACACTGTCTGCATAGTGGAGGCTTTTACTGAGTCACTCAGATTTCAGCAGTATTTGAACCACATTTGGTTAGATAGATATGATCACAAAATGAAACTTAAAAGTTTTTTGCTAAATAGATTGTTTTCTGTAGATTGGCCAGAGAGTAAATTTCCACAGCCACAGATGTCAACAACCCTACAGATATATCTGCTTTGTTCTTTTTGTGATGGACAGTATGTTTATGTTTATTTTAAGAATCCCCATTAGCTGAATGCTTTGGCAATCAGCTAGTCTTCCTGGGGTCCAAAAATAGTAAAAAAAAAAAAAAAAGTAAAATATTCATGATTGATCCTACAAATGTAGTATGGATGTGGTCAGATAACTTTTAGACTTTTTATACTGATTGATTCCTGATTTTATTTGGCTGTTTTGGACATTGCTGGAAATCAATGAGAAGGACTGGGTTTATGGTAATATTATCTTAAATGTAATGTTACGCTTTTGAAAAACCTACATTTATCAGGCATTTAATTCACTGCAAAACCGACACTTTAATCAAGTTATATTAAATCTCAGTTTTCTAGTTTTGACAAATATTCACATAATTGTATAAATGTAGCAATTTAAAATCAGTTGCTTTAGATTAAATCACCCACAACACCTGCTTTCACATCACAAGAGTTGACCTCAATAAAAGGCACACTTACAAAGTGCACTGCAGTGCAGAAACCCTGATACAGATACTTCTTTTTTAGGGCTACATATGATATGCAAAATAAAGACATTGCTATGATTTTGACAGATATTGTGCTTGCAATGTGAGTCACGATTTTATTGAAATATAAAAATTATGATACTGTGATATTTACTAGGGTCTGTACCAAACAAGCATGTTCCCTCATGTCTAAGAATATGATTTTATTGGTCAGGGCATCTCTGTAGCACAATGCTTTATACATAATGTTATGTTGTGGCACAATTTACCCTAATCGAAAAATTGTGGCTCCTACAGTTTGGACATTGCACTTGGCCATATTGCAATTGCGATAATAATTTGATTAATCATGTGGCTGTTTTCTTTACATTAAGCTTGTTGAGCAAGACTTGACTTAATACTCAATTTTTAATATAGCCATAGTTTTTTGTGTTTTTGGTGTTGTGTTGACGTGACCCTACAGTATAATCCGGTGTGCAGTAACAATAATAATAGTACTGCAGATCAATAGTACCAGTATTTTTTGCAGGGTTATAGCATTATGTTGACAGATGTTGGGCATTTCAACAGGTGTTGCTACATCATAATAAATAGTCCTAATGTTCTTGATACTGATAAATGTAATGTCAGGCTTTTTTTAATACATGAATATGAGTTTATTATTTTTCCTTACTTGTGTTGACTCATGCTGGATATGTTTGCCCTGTCCTAGATGTAGCTGTAAAATTTGCTATTGGTTCTCTCTCTCTGTAGTTCAATGCTAGATTATAGTAGAGCATCACTGCCTGACTGTGATGTTGTTTTTCTGTGTGAATATTTATGTGTGTGTTTGTCTGGCTTGCCCTGCAGGAGGTGAGTGAGCCCACCAAGGAGGAGAAGGCGGTGGCCAAGTACCTCAGATTCAACTGCCCCACCAAGTCTACCAACATGATGGGCCACCGAGTCGACTATTTTATTGGTTAGTGCTCAGCTGTGGGATGTTAGGCAAGAGGCGAAACACACAACACCTTGCCACATGGGGTGGAGTGTGAACCAAGAGATCAAACCCTCCCCTGTGTTTGTTTTCAGACACACAACCAGTTGCGTTTACTGAACAGAGATTCAGCTGCATTTGATTTTGTCACAGTAAATAAAAACCTTTTGTAGTGTTGGGTCGAACTGTGCCACATTACTGAGGAGTTGCCAAATTCTTAAACAAATGTTTCCACTGCAGTCTCATTTACCGACCTGATCCTCCCACACAGTATGTATAATGGTGTTGTTCTGTGGCATGATGTTGGGAAATGCTGTTTGCTCAGTAGTTGTGGGTAGACTAAGTAGTGACTGCTGAGGCCGCTTATTGCTCTCATCACCATCACATGACCTTACAGTTGCTTACCTTTGCTGTGGACAGCTGTCTACAGTCTGACAGTACTGACCACGGTCTGTATCTGGACCCAGCCCAGGCCTCATGTTATGAATGCAACACGTTATGAAGTGTCTCTGTTTTAAATTATTTTTCACTTGATCAATAAATTATTAGTGAGTTTGAATATACAGTGTAGCTGGAGATCATTCACAGTGATCCTGTCCCCAGATGATTGTGGGTTTAATTTCCATATCGTTGACATTGCTGTCATGGCAACGTCAGCTGCTGGAGAGATCTGTGTGTTGCTACTGCCAAGTTCAAGCATTAACATTACTCCAAAGACTTTGCTATCAGCTCTTTTTAATCGCAGATACAGAGTATGTTTCAGTTTCTCCAGCACACAATTTCTAAAACTAGTCTAGATGTAGTTGTAAGAATATGTCTGAGTCAGATATAGTAACTGTCCGGGTCGTGTCTGCCTCAGTTTTAGTTAATTGCAATGACAAGTAGAGTCAGTTGGTGACAAGTAACACTTTGTCACCACAGAGGTGAAGATATTATAGTCTAATTTTACAGAGAAAGGAAAAGTTGACCATGAAAACAAAGTATTCAGAGAGGAGTGAGCGGACAAATGTGCATTTATTTTGTTTCTCCCACTAGATTTAAATGTATTTTGGCCATCTTGACTGTCTTGAACTTGAATGTATGTTACTTAAAAGGTGTAATTGGGTTGATGAAATGTTATTTTGTAATCACCAATCATTCCAAAACTTCTAACCTTGAATAAAAATCAGATGCAGACCTTTGAGTAATAAGTGTGAGACTCCCTGTGTAGCCATTATTCAGTTTGTTAGTACCATCACTGTCAGGTGAAGGGATAAGTACACATTCCTAAAGTGGCTGTGAGCAATATTTTTGTAATAAGAATGTAGCAAATTAAACTATAAAAGAGGTGCTAGTCATGAACTCAGTGATTCTGCCGCTCTACTTGGTACTTGGTACCAGCTGGTGAGCACAGCAGAGTGAGCTGCTTAACAGCCAAATATCCCTCCAGGTGGATAGAACCCTAAATGAATGATTATGTCGCTCTGTGACTGCTGGATGTTTAAATAAGCAGCTGTTTGCTCAATAGTTAGCAGTATCATCGTATAAGGTGATGATGTGTCAACGTTGTGTTCACAGTTTGGTTCTACTGCTCCAAAAGTTGCAAAAATCAACTATCATATGTTTTAAAGTTAAAAAGAAGGAAATTTTAAATGTCACTCCAGTTTACATTCCATTCTATTTTTAAATGTATTGGAGTGCAATCAATAAGCTGGGTGCACATTAACCTAGTGAATCTTGATTCAACACAGGCCTCTGCACTGCTGATTAAAAAGTGTAATAACACAGAATACCAGGATCATGGCTGCATGGCATTTTTGACCCAATATCAATCTCTGTTTTTGTAATGTTGTCCATCTCTGTGTCCCCACCTTTAGCCTCCAAGGCAGTGGACTGTCTGCTGGACTCCAAGTGGGCCAAAGCTAAGAAGGGAGAGGAGGCGCTGTTTACCACCAGGGAGTCTGTGTTGGATTACTGCAACAGGTTCGCTGCGTAACACACTTTGCGTAATACAGTTTGCTACACCTCTGATGTTTTAGATAAAAAAACATTTGTCATATGCAGGATTTCATTTTAAAATAAAGTATCTAAGTTTTTTTATTCATACACTTTCAATATGGTGAATGGTATGTAGGATTATTTATACGATCAGTTAATTTTACTGATTGTTTTCTTGATTTATCCAGTAATTTATTGGTCTATGAAATGTTTGAAAACAATGAAAACAGTCTGACGCATTTTGCCAAAACCTAAGGTGATGCCTTCATAGTGTTACATATTCAGTTTACAATCATAGAGGATGACAAACCCCAGCAAGTATCGACGTTTGGAAGTGGGAACTAAGGAGTTTTTGGTGTTATTGCTCAAAAAGAGACTTCAAAAATGTATTATCAAAACAGATGCTGAGCCCTGCAGGCATGAAACTACAATTTAAATAAATTCCTTTCAGTCTTGCTGAGCAACCAACAGATGGGACATGCAAATGCCAGGCTGAAATATTTGCATTTTGAGATAAAATCCTTCACATGACCTTTGAGTCTGTGCACACTGATGTTGATTTAAACTAAAACATTATTTATAATTATTATTCCCACCCGATGACCCCAAAGACATGTTAGTTATCACTGCTCACTGGTCTGTATAGTTAAGCCTTGCCATAATAGCTTATCATAGGGCTTAGGAGGTTATTCACTGAGTGCTGATCCTTTTCTAGAGCACAAACTTCTTGTGTTTATTTGAATAACCAGTTATCCTCCTCTGTCCTCTGTAGACTCCTAAAGAAGCAGTTCTTCCACCGGGCTCTCAAAGTGATGAAGAAAAAACCTGAGAAAGACACCAAGAAGGAGAAAGAAAAGGAAAAAGAGAAGGAGAAAGAGAAGGAGAAGACCAAGGGTGACAGCGGCAAAGAGGAGGAGAAAAAAGGGAAGAAGGAGAAAGAGAAGAAAAAAGAGTCTGAGGTGGCTGAAATCAAGAAAGAGAAGAGCGTACGTTACCCAACACTGTTTCTTTTAATGTTGACTAAACCCCTGAGATTATTGGGATTATTATTATTATCATTACTATTGTTACCTGCCTTTAAAGGATAGTATTGTCACTGTTGGAGGATTTAGTATACATCAGTATATTTTTATTGTTCTGCTTTGACAGTGGGATCTATCTGAACAGGGTAATCGGTGTTGCACAGGTTACAGCCTCCCCCTCACACTGATTTCACTTTTGTATGTTTGTTTAATGACCTGTCAGTTGCCTTGACACTGCGGAGCCTGACAGTAAATGGGTAGATATTAACTTTGCTGTGGACAGATCTTTAGAAATCCTGGAAAGAAGCAGCTCAGTGTGTTCATGGTGTCAGGTCTGGGTCAGTAAAAAGGGAAACTATGATCGAGTGGAAAATTAACCAGTTAGGTTTTTATCGGCCAAATGCCAGTTTGAGTTAATAGTCTGACCGGCCAACTATAACCAGCTGAAATGCTGCATTGATTGCAGACCATCTAATAACATCAACACTCGAAGGAAACGTTTGACAGTTTGGGAAAGCCTGTCATTCTCACACCAATTTTTGTACAGAGTAAATAGAAAACACACAAAGTGTTAGCTTGTGAGCTGGTAGGTGGATTTTGTTTCCTTTCAGACACAGCCAGGCTAGCTGTTACCCCTGTTTCCAGTCTTTGTGCTAAGCTAAGCTAACTTGCTGCTCGCTATAGCTTCATATTTACCGTACAGATATGAGAGTGGTACCAATCTTCTCAACCAATTCTCATCAAGAAAGTGAATAAGCATATAGATCACACTGCAAAAAAATGATTTGTAAGTCAAGGATAGATTTTATATAAAATATTTGTATTTTTAAATTATATGTTTTCATAGGATGACAGTCCTGGAACCCCCAAGAAGAAGAAAGAGGTGAAGAAGAAGTTTAAACTGGAGCCTCATGAAGATCAGCTTTTTCTAGATGGAAATGAAGTGAGTGTGTGTAGAGGATAAATATACTGTGTATGTACATGTATGTGTGTGTGTGTGTGTGTGTGTGTGTGTGTAGTCCAAAAGTCTGCGACCACTAGGCAAGATTGGTTAGGAATGAAACACCTTTTTTTTTCATTACAAATGCTAATATCAGCTTAACAATTTGAGTGAAAAGTTGAATATTTGAAAAGTTTAGCCTACATGAGTTTCAGTATGTCTTAGCAGTTGGTACGTCCCCCTTTTGCTTTGATGACAGCATGTACTCGAGCTAGCATGGAATCCACAAGTTGGGGCAAAACCTGATGACCTGTGTTATCCCAGCATGACTTGAGAATGCTCCAAAGAGCTTCTTGTGTTGCCACAGGGCTTTCTCAGTGTTCAGGTGCCTCCATGTATGTTCAGTGTGGTGTAGGTCAGGTCACTGTGGAGTTAAGTCCATGACAGTCAGGACTCTGGGAGCTTCTTTGGTCTTCATGGTAAATGGAGTGGACTTGCACTTGTATAGCACCTTTCTTGTCATCTGAACACTCAAAGCATTTTTACCCTACATCTCACATTCATACACAGGTGGTTGAGGCTACCATACAAGGTGCTCATCAGTTAAAGTCATTCATACGCCCAAGTTCACTTCGACATGCAGACTGGAGGAGCTGGGCATCATGGATGACCTGCTCTTCCTCCTGAGCCACAGCCAGTCAACTAATTCTTCCAAAGCATTTTAGATTTCCACATACTACCCCCTCAAAAACTTTTAGTCTAGCCATGATTTGACCCTGAAAATGCTCAGAATAACAATTTGACTTCTGACACTTTGGCTTAGTTCTGATGCCATGTTTCCAATTATCACAGTGCTGCCTGTCAAATAATGATCTGCTGGAAACTTGAGGCACAGATGCATTTATAACCGGTCAACACTGGCTGCAAGTTGAATGAGCCTCAGATGAGGAGGTCAAGTCCACCTGAGTGTCGTCTGAACCCATCTGAACACATGCTTCAATGGAAAGAATACAATGAAATCTGCCCTTTTGTACAGAAGAGTTAAGTTGGTTAGAATTTGGTTAAATTTGGTTGCTCACCTAAAAATGGTGCAGGATCTTACATATTTTTTCTTCATGTAACATGTCATAACGTGTTTCTGAATGTTTGTGCATGTTTCTGCATCCTCAAAGTTTCTAATTATTTGAAGGGTTAATGTGAATATGACAGATTTTAATGTGGTCTTAGAGTTTTTTGTGCTTGTGTGTGTCTAGAGAAATGTTTGTGATCCTGAAATGCTTCTAAACACAAACTGTGTCTCCTTTCTTCAGGTGTATGTGTGGATTTACGATCCTGTTCATTTCAAGACATTTGCCATGGGACTGATACTCGGTGAGTCAGTGGCTGAAAATCATAGATGGAGTTCTTCTGAACAAGAACTGAATGGAGGGCTACTTGTTACTGATTGCAGCTGATTTTTACTTTTTTGTTCTCACACCATCTGTGCGTGTGTGTTTGTCTTTCAGTTATTGCCGTGATAGCAGCCACTCTGTTCCCACTGTGGCCAGCAGAAATGCGTGTAGGAGTTTACTATCTAAGTGTCGCAGCAGGCTGCTTTGTGGCTAGTATATTGCTTCTTGCTGTTGGTAAGTACATGTACTCTAGATTCCTGCACTAAGTTCCTGCATTTGATTAAATGCAAAACAAAATTTGCCCAGTTTTATGCTACACTTACATGAAGTTATACTATTAATCAAAGTAACATTTTAAATATAAATGTCACCCTAGCCATTTGTAATTTGCATAAGGAACAGTTTGAATCCATGCATCAGAAGATGAGCAAATGTGTGTGTGGTTTTCTTAGACATGGGAGATAATGCTTGTCTAATGCAATCCTTCCACTGTGTGTACAGCAAAGGTTTCCAGCTTTTTTCTCTTGTGACACCTTTAATATCCATGTGCGATCCCTTGTCACCAGTTGTGTATTTCTGCTGGTTGTGACTAGTTCAAACAATTAACTTTATCTTGTTTTATTCAAATAGTTTTTGAATCTTAAAGAAGAAAAATAGTTCACAAGAATAAAAAGCAAATATTAAGGGTTTGGTATGTTTCAAAATAAGTTAGTTCATACAAAGTCTCCTCCAAACAATCTAAAAGCGAAAGTGTTTATAGCATGTTTAAAAAAAACTGACGTCATTGAAAGACAGGATTAATGTGATTCATCATTGTAATGAGGATTGGAAAGTCTCTAACCCCCATGACCTCAGTAATAACAACTTAATACCTCTGACAGTGTCAATCAGAACTCAACATTACTGCCTTTGTAAAGATAGGATTAATGGCTGAACTGCTGTATTGGATTGAAATTTTACCGGGGTACCTAATAAAGTGGCCACTGAGTACACAAATGCAATTGTAAAAGTAAAAAAATGTTTTTTAATTGGTACAATGACGTATATTATTATAAAATAAAAAAAACATTTTCACAGGGATGACAAGAATGACAATTTTCATAGCTGTAGGCTTAATTTCATTTTATTAATTGCAATAAAAAGTTGTGAAGAATTATCCTGACTTAAGACAACAGAGCTTTATTTCTACAGCATGTGTCAAAATGAGAGGCATTCAAAGTATGCAAAGAAATGCATCAGAAGGACATTTATAAACACAACCAAAGGACATTAAAATGAATTCACATAGATTTAAAAAGAAAATAGATAAAACAAAGTACAGTTAAACAAAAATAACAAACAAGATACAGGGCTGTAATTAGTTGTAAGTTCCCCAAATTTAATAACAGTGTTGAAGACAAACATTCAGTCACAGGTGAACAGCAGGGGGTTTAACATAGATTTTAATGCCACTAAAGTTAAAGACGTGTGTTTGATATATGTAAATTGATCCCACTGGTTGTTACCTCTCTCTTCAGCCCGCTGCATCCTCTTCCTGATCATCTGGCTGGTGACCGGCGGCCGCCACCACTTCTGGTTCCTCCCCAACTTGACGGCCGACGTCGGTTTCATCGACTCGTTCAGGCCGCTCTACACTCACGAGTACAAAGGACCACGAGCCAGCAGCAAGAAGGGCTCGGACAAGACGGACGAGAAGGACAACGGTGGCAACAAGGCTCAGAAGTCAGACAGCGACGAGAAGTCAGACAGCGAGAAAAAGGACGCCGATGACGAGGAGGAGGAAGAAGAGGAGGAGTGCAAAGAGGCCGAGGAGGGTAAAGAAGCAGAGGGGGAGGGAACGGGGGCGGACCGCCAGTCAGACACAGACAGCGACCGCCGGGAGGACGAAGGTTCGCAGCACAGCAACGGAAACGACTTTGAGATGATCACCAGGGAGGAGCTGGAGCAGCACACAGAGGAGGAGGAAGAAGAGGAGGAGGAAGACGAGGAGACACAAGAGAGGAAAGAAGGGGGCGAGAGTGAGACTAAACCCCAGACTGCTGAAACATAAACTCCTTACAATCCCATCACTTCTTTCTCTCTCTGCCCTTCCCTCCCTTCCTCCTGTGATCCCAGGACCTGCTCGTCCGGCCTCTCTGAGCCTGCTGACACCGAGGAGAGACTCCATCTCTTGTTGTTGAGATCTTCCACTAAACAGTTCCGATAGACCAGTACCGGGATAGACACAACAATGAAAACGTAAACGGCTACAACAATGGGGAAAAAAATTCTAAAAGCAGCCTTATGGTGGATCCTGATTCCTCCCACACAAATGTTATTTATGTTAAAATGAAAACTGCCACCGACATGTTTGCCTGAGGAAGTTGTCAACGTAAAAAATCCATCAGACCAACAACAGACCTGATGGAGGGTTTTCATGTCTTTGTCTGTTTCCTTTCTGTGTTATTTTAACTCAGTATACTTTATTTATGTCCCCTTTTTGGTTACATTTAGATGTTTCGTATGTGCGTTCAAAGCTCGACCTTAGCTACCAGAGAAGAGCTATGGTTTCTTTGCCCCTCCTCTTTTCTTCTTCTGTTGTCGTCTTTGAGCTCCATGTTGTTGGTACAATCACGTTAGCAAGAAAGCCCCCATTCCATCACCTTCTTTCGGTGAGGCAGCTACGGCACGCTTCACGTCCTGTTGAATGGCAGCGAGTCTGATAGCTTTCTCAGGCAGCCCTTAAAGCAAACTGACCTGCTTTGAAACCTGAACCAAGCCGGATGGACCAAATCCTGTAGTTTACTCGAAGGAACCTAAACGTCGACCATGTTGTGGCTGGATGGAGTATTACGAAAGCAGAGTAGCACGGCTCCTTGAGGTACTTGCCATTTTCAGTGAGAAAAAAAAAGTTTTGTTTTTTTAAATGGCTGATGATCATAGTGCAATCCTCCACACAGTCTGAAGTAGTTCATGTTTATAATGTGGGACTCATCTTTAAGAGTGAATGTGAGCAACTGGGACACAGCTGGCATACTTAAGTTTCTTTTTTAAAAAAAGATTGCAGCATTTGTTGTACAACTAAATCTAGATGATATTACGTTCACTGATTAACTGTCTATTTGCAAACAGAACCAGATATAAAGTAAACTCTAGTGCCAAACACGACTAATAATGATGTTATGCATGCTGATTTAATATGGAGAGTTGAGTGTGAGAGCGAGGGGTACTCTTTTGTTAATTTGTGTCAAACTCCTCAAAACCTTTCGCGTCTTTGGGAAAAAAATAAAGATTTAAATAAAAAAAAAGCACAGCACAAAGTTGTTAGTGTAGATATACAAAGATTTTTGGTCTCAATGAAACCGCTTAAAGTTGTTCGCACTAGACTCCCACTCAAACCAGTTCTGTCTGGTCTCGCACAAGCCGTCATGTGTGAAAAAGTGGTGCTGGTCCACTGACCCCATTACAGTTTCATTTCCAGTCAAAGCCTAGTAACTGGCGGCCATGGTCCAAGCTGTTCTTCATATTATCTCCTGGCTAGAAATGTCTTAGATGCTCTTTTTAGTCATAGCGAGGATTATATTTAAGTATAAAAAAATAGAAATGTATCATTTATATATGGATTCTATTGATATATCAAATATATACATACATTAATTACAGTCTAAGAACTATAAAAACTTTTTTTTTTTTCCATTTTTATTTTGTATTAGGAAAGATAATTTTTATTCCACAGACTTTGTAATGTTCATTTTTGTTTTTATACGATCATAAAGAGCGACTCATTATTTAAACTTAACATTTGGGAGAAGAAAACAGCGTGAATTCATTAGATAAATATTTTTCAGTTTTTTTTTTTTTTTTTTTTTACATTAGCCGTAACATTGAACATGTGATCTGGTTGGTTTGTTTCCACATCATCACTTCTCTCACTAACAAACGGTCAGTCATTAACTCGATGTTATAAAACCAGTGGCTTGTGTAACACTGTTGGTTCCCACTTAGTCTGACGTGGCAAAAACTCTCCTCACAGTGAAACAATATTTTTAATATATTCCACACAGCTTTCTGTACAGTTATTTGTTTTGCCTAAAATTGAACTCACTTAGACTGTATTTAGTAGTTTGTTCTGTCTCCTGTAATCCCAATGAGGTTTGTAGCTCTTTGACTTTCTAACTCACACCTCCACATTGTTGTTTCTGTTCTAATATATTTGTTTTTTTCTTCCCCAAATGGCCAAAGTGCATCTCTGTGTCCTGAGTTGCCAGTTGCTGTACTCTCAATATTGGCATAACCATTTCACAAAAGAGAAAAAAATAATAATTCTCCCAATTGTTCTTGACTGTTGCACAGTATCGGTCTGTTGTATATTGTAGTATTATTACTCTCTATGCTGCTGCTTCTCATCGCACATTTCTGGGGGAAATAAAAAGTGAAACTGTAAAACATTCATGTTTTATCTCTGGTCAAAAACCGTGTCTTTTGATCACCTGGTTGTCCACATTTGGATCAATATCATTCTGAAGACTGTCTCATGCAATATTGGAGAATAATTTAATGAAACTGGATGTCTGGAAATATATCTATCTTACCATTGCAATAAAAATATAGAAGGCACACATGTACTGTCTTATTTTCCTGTATTGTATCTTTTCTCTTGGCATTGTTGTATGGAGAAAAAAAAGACAGTGCAACAAAACATCTTCCTGTTTTTGTTTACATGGTTTATATATACTATAATCTGAGAGTCTGAGGCTCACAAAGACCATAAACCTTTTGAGCAGTTAGTACTAACCTGCTGCAGGCATTTCATTAATATTAATGAGAGTTGAAAACAGTTAATATTTAATGCAGATCATGTAATTTCTTCAAAAAGTTTCATTAGAGGTATTGATAAATATCTCAAAAAAGTACTTGTACTGTATGTGGAGCTGAAACTAATTGTTTAAGACTTATTTTTTCAGTGAATCGAATTTTGAATTTTTGTTAAATTACAAACACTTGTAGACATAGTATAGCGTGTCACAAAAATGTCTTACAAAGTCATCGTATAGTATGTCAAAAAAAATCATAAATATGTCTTGGTATAGTTTGTCATAAAAAAGTCACGAGAAAGTCATGGTATAGTATGTCACAAAAATCATTAAAACATTAAAGTATAGTTTGTAAAAAAATTTAATTTACTAAAAAAGTCAGTACAGTGTCAAAAAAACAAAAAAAAAATCAAATCCTAGTATAGTATGCCCACAAAAAAGTAGTATTGTGTTAGTATAGTATGTCAAAAAGTCATAGTAAGCCCACAAAAAAGTAGTATAGTGTTAGTATAGTATGCCAAAAAAAAGTCCTTGTATAATATGTCATGAAAAAGTGAAGTGTTCTGTGCATTAATCGTGTATATAATGTGGGGATGATGATGATGATATCCCCACTTTGGCCTGGTGTACGGGCTACTGCTTGCCTTAGCATATTCCTGAGGCAACATTGGATGTGAACCCCAGTCTCTCGCACTAAGGTCAGTAGCCTTAACCACTAAGTTATCCTGCCGCTACACATAAGCCCCTTTTACACTGCCAGATTTTCAGCGAATGTTGGGCTGTTTTGTCGGCAGGTTGCTAGCGTTTAGACACACAGAGCCGGATTGGCGAGTTGATCAGAGGTGCCCAATTTTCGGCATCGTAGGGTAGTCATATTGGCAGAACCTTTCTGGTTTAAAAAATGATCATACAAATATCTTAGTATAGAATGTTATGAAAATTGTTATTCCAAATATCACAGTATAGTATGTCATTAAAAAATGTTACTCATACAAAAGCTAACAGCAGGTTGGTTAGTTGTACCTATTATTCTGGCAACTGAATGTACTTCTTACCTGATAATCTCACTGACTGTGTAATAACAGGAAAGATTTGAATAGTAAAAACTTCTTCACTTTTTCCTGCTTAGCGAGACGCAGTCCTGTACCTGCTCCATCCTGCAGTCAGACTGTCTGGAAAGTTTGCTTAAGGTTATACACTTGTCTGTAGTTAGACACCAGGACGTCCACAGGTCCTGAACCAATCTTAAAATGTCTTTATTAAAACTCAAGATTTATAAGTATTGCCAGTCACTGGAAAACATGTTTCCCAAGTCAGGCAAACTCCTGCAAATTTTATTTTCTGAAAAGTCAATACTTTTTTTATTGTCACTCATGATTTAGAGAGTTTGGGTTCACACAAAGATCAGACTGGACAAAAAAGTCAGTGAGTTTTGAAACTTTATTTTAGCACTACTTCCTTTCACATTGACTTCAGTGATCATGAAAACAACATGACCTACCATGTTATGTTCTACAACATGCAATCTGACGTGTAGAATTTAACTTGGCCAGAAAAGTTGAGAAAGCAACTGACAAAACAAAAATAGATGAAAAAACTCCTCTACAGCGAATGTTAAGATGTACACAAAGTAGGCTTTGGATCGTACAATATGTTTGGACAGAACAATCACACACAGTAGTCTTTGGCTGACTCAGAAATAGAAATTCAAAGTCTTTTTTAGCTCCATTCTATATAAATATCACATAAATATGACATTAAATACATTTATCACAGAATCCTATATGTACAAATTTACATTTAAGGTCATTGTTTCTTATTGTATCAGTGTTTCTCTACCTATAATCCACAAAGTTTGTGCCAGTAACGTCTAAAGCTTACACACTGTATCATCATATTGATGATTAAGTACGCCATCTCCTAAACAACAGATTATTAATTCATAATATTAATAAACTGCGATCATTTCAGTAACTGCAGTTGTTTTTTTCCTAGGTGAGAAACATGCTTTCTCCCAATAAACTACAGATAGAATTACAGATTGCTTTTTAACTGGAATGTCGTGAGATGCTTTCTCAAATGAATTAAATACTGTAAACACAGTATGCTCATTAAACATGCTATTCATTGGACTGATGTAACACTCATCTGGCTGCACAGACACGTGTTCTCACTTTTACAGTTCTGTTTCTGTAATGAAAATGTTTGCAGGGTCTCAGAAAAACTGATCCCTCTCACCGTCACTCGCTCAGCTGCTGTGGAGAGCGTCCACTTTAACGTAGATCAAAAAGAGCACCCTCCAATTCAGTTCTCTGTGTCCGATGAGTCCGATACATCCGCCAGTCGCGCCTGCCTCTTGCGTACGTTCCAGTGCAAACACTGAGCCAGGCTTTCAAACCAGTCGTACACCAGGTCGTGGCAGCAGATAGAGGGCACTGGGTAACAAGACGTAGTGATCTTTATGCTGGTTGGAGAGAAAAGCAGAAATTAATCCAAGAGAGAAGAACAATAAATCTGTATGACGACAAGGCAAGTGATAATGACAGGAAGTGAACTTTACCAGTCCCCATGCTGGATCTCCTGCCTCTTCCTGCCATCAAACGACACCCAGGCTGTGTTCCTGGCATCAGGAGACAAGGTGATCTGTTTGAAGAAGAGGACAGTCTGTCAGTGTCAATACACATGGAGTGACTCACCAACACACCAACCCATCACACACTGAAATCCCCAAGGTACTAGCATTGCCATAAAGTGGCTATGTAAATATGTGTGCTGACTATGAATGTGAGAGCAATGTACTGTAAAGGAAAAAAAACATATGAATCCCATTAACAGGGACTGATGGACACTTCATACCACAACAAAAAAAATGTCCAAAGATTTCAACTAGTTTACTGATAAACCAGATTTACCACCTCACAGTTGTACACCTCCACCAACCAGTCAGGTTGCAGTTTCAATCCCTGTCTGTCCAGACTCTAATGTACCCATGGCAGTAGACAATGCTTTGAATGTGGATGTTGCTGCACGGAAGCTACATATTCTAAAACATGGATGCTTCACACACGTCTTCAACCCGGCTGCATGGAAGATCTATATCGGAACGGTCTCAAAATGGGCATCCAAGATTAGTGTCACCAATTCAGTGTCCGACCAAATGTCTTATGACGTTGAATAATGGACAGAGAAGTGTTTTTGCGGAGCATTATGATGTCACAGTGAAGCTGACCTTTAATCTTTTGGATATAAAATGTCATCACTTCATCAACAAATAAATAGTGCTAACAAGGGTGCTGAGTCAAGGCATACATGCGGTCCATTTTGTCCACTTCTCAATAAAAATGTCCTTTTGGGTCTCAAACTAAAAATCATTTGCTCCATTACATATATATATATATGATATACCAAGACAATCCATTCATCAATACTTGGTATAGTCTCATCAGGTACATCAGTTCTAAGTTAAGGGTTAATTTGGTTAGAGAAACGGTTTCAAGAATGCCATGAATAATAGTCCAAAAAGGAGTGACAGAGAGGCACCACCGAAAGATATGAAAGTGATTTCCTTCTTTGTCCGTCTAGTTTGAGAAAGATCTTTCTGGGCAGAAGTACAGAAGTAACTCATGACATTCTTCCAACTCAATTCCCTCCCGGATGAAGAGCTTGTTGTTTTCCATTGTTGTCTGAATATCTCTTCCCATTCCTCTTGTGCCATGGTCAGATTACCCTCACTTTCCCACCTTGGTTTAACTCTAAATGTATTTTCCTTGTGTAGTTGTTGAAGGCTCAGGTATAGTTTTGAAATGACCTTTTTATATGCTTTCATATGCTTTATTAAATATTTGGATTTGTTCATTTTCTGTGGGCATATTTTTCTTTATATTTTGTCAATATAATCAGTTATCTGTAAGTATCTAAAAAGGTCCCGGTATTGCAAACTAAATTCCTCCTTGTGATACCTTGTTTAATGAGAGTACAGTATGCTGTTAGCCCACTGGGGATCCAATCTTTAAATCTTTCGTTTACTAGGTATGAATTCTGGGTCATATGTAAACCATCTTAAAATATCTGCTGTCTTTCTTACGTTAAAATGTTAAAGTGTTTCATGCCATGTTTGTAATAATCTGATAATCCATGGGTTATTGTTGTCTAGGAGCTGGGTGGATAATGAGGGGTCCCCAGTTACCGCGTTCACTGGCAGAGGTCACAGTGACTTTTGACCACCAAAGTGCCTACTCTACTCCACATAAACGACTTTGTCAAAAAAAATAAATATATTTATAGGCTGTGGTTACATAAACAGGCGATAAATTACAGGAAAACTCTGAGTTACTGTGTGGAGAAACATAACAGAAGCAGATGCTTCTCTGAAGGCCATTAGGGGTCACTACATGGTTCCAAATGGCCTCACCAGATCTCAGCCCAACTGCACAAGTACAGGAGGGTTTAGCCCAAGTGTAGACAGCACCATTGTCACGTGTGGGAGTATCATTTGGACAAAACGGTGCCTTACTGTGACACTCTCCGTAAACACTATGTTTGCACCAAGTTCAGTCCATCCTCCTTCCCTTTCATTCTTACCATGAGCTCCACGCCAGCAGGGACGACGATAGGCCTGAAGGAGAGTGAGTGTGGACAGATGGGGGTGACCATGATGGCGGGTACGTTGGGGTGGATCATGGAGGCTCCTGCTGCGGCTGCGTACGCTGTGCTGCCTGTAGGTGTGGATACAATCACACCTGGAGGACAGAGAGACAGTGAGGACATTTCCCACCTTTATTTACCATGTTAATTGTGTACTACTA